GGGCCCGGAACGGGGAGCGGGCCCGGCTGTCCCGTGTCCCCTCAGGTGTCCAGCAGGTCCCACACGGCCGGGTGCGCCCCGTCCCGCGGGCTCCGGCCGCGGGCATCGCGGACGGCAGCGAGGGCCGGGCGCTGGCGCAGGAGGAGGGCACAGAGCTCGCGGTGCCCCTGCTCGGCGGCCTGGGGGGCGGGCACCGGTGTCACCCCGGGGGGACACGGATGTCACCCCCAGAGGGGCACGGGGACCCCCCGAGCCACCCACACGCACCCTGGGGGAGGAGAACCCCGTGCCCCCCACCAACCTGGCACAGGGGTCCCTCCTCACCCCCTGTGCCCCCCACCCAGCTCGGGCAGGGGATCCCCTCCGTGCCCCCCACCTGGTCCTGGTGCCCTCCCGTGCCCGCACCTTGTGCAGGCCGGTCCTGCCGTCGCTGTCGGTGGCCGCGGGGTCGGCGCCGTGTGCCAGGAGCAGCTCGGTGACCGCGCGGTGCCCGCAGTAGCAGGCGCGGTGCAGCGGGGTGGCACCGCCGGGGGTGCGGGCATCGCACGGAGCGCCCCGCTCCAGCAGCAGCCGGCACACGCCCAGGTGCCCGTTCCGGCTGGCGTAGTGCTGCGGGCACGGGGCCGTGGGCACCGGCTGCCCGGGACCCCCGGGACAAGGCCGTGTGCCCACTGGCTGGGACCCCCGGGACCCCTGGGCCAGGTTGGGAACCCCAGTGCCCCCCATGCCAGGGCTGTGTACCCGAACAGGATCCCCGTGCCCCCGTACCAGGGCCATGTACCCGGTCAGGTCCCCCATGCCCCCGGTGACCCCTGTGCCCCCGTACCACAGGCTGGGACCCCCGTGCCCCCCATGCCAGGGCTGTGTACCCCGCCAGGTCAGGACCCCCGTGCCCCCGTACCAGGGCCGTGTACCGGGTCAGGACCCCCCTGCCCCCGGTGCCCCCGTACCAGGGCCGNCCCCGTGCCCCCGTACCAGGGCCGTGTACCGGGTCAGGACCCCCCTGCCCCCGGTGCCCCCGTACCAGGGCCGTGTACCCCGCCAGGTCGGGCTCCGCGGGGTTCCCGCTCCGCTCCAGCAGCTGCAGCAGCCGCGCCTCGTCCCCGTCCCGCGCCGCTGCCCAAATCCCTGCGGGCAACGGAGATGGAGCCGCCTCAGCCAGAGACGGAGCCCAGAGCCCCCTCTGTGCCCCTCCGGTGCCGGTACCGCTGCTCCAGCCCTGCCCGTGCCCCTCCGGTACCGGCACCGCTGCTCCAGCCCTGCCCGTGCCCGTCCAGTACCCGTATCCCAACCCTGCCCATGCCGTACGGTACCGGTGCTCCAGCCCTGCCCCTGCCCCCTCCGCTACCCCAAGCCCTGCCCAGAGTCCCTGGGAGCCCCTCCAGTACCGGTACCCCAGCCCAGAGCCCCCTGAGCTCCGCCGGTACCGGTGACCCGGCCCTCCTGCCCCCCCGCCCCGGAGCCCCCCGGACCCCGCTCGAAGTCCATCTCGGACAGGCTCTGGTGCACGCTGGGCACGGCCACCCGGCCCGGGCAGCACGGAGCGGGCATCGCCTCCCGGCCCGGGCAGCACGGAGCGGGCGGCGAGCGGCGACCACCGGCCATGGCACCGGCGGCACCGGGGGGCACGGAAAGGGACGAGGGGAGACGGAAAGAGCCGAGGTGGGACGGAAAGAGACGAGGGGGGGCGGAAAGAGCCGAGGTGGGACGGAAAGAGACGAGGGGGGACGGAAAGAGACGAGGTGGGACGGAAAGAGACGAGGGGAGACGGAAAGAGTCGAATTTGAACGGAAGAGGCCGAGCGAGGTCGGGAAGGGCCGAGGGAAGGCGGAAAGGGCCGAAGAGAGTCGAGACGGGCTGAAGTGGGCGGAAAGGGCCGAAAAGGGGCCGAGAAAGGCCGAACGAAGCCGGGAAAGGCCGAACGAAGCCGGGAAGCGCCGAAGGGACAGCATTCCTCCCCCGCAGAGCCCCCGTGCCGCCGCCAGGGGGCGCCAGCGGCCGCTCCAAGCCCCCCATGAGGCCCCGGGGTTCGTTCACTCCCCTCCCTCCCCCCAGTTTTGGGGTCCCCAAGCCCCGTCCCCATCAGCAATGGCAGTCCCAGGGCTCCAATTCCCCATTACGGGGGTCCCAGGGCTCCAATTCCCCATTACGGGGGTCCCAGGCTCTCCCTCCCATCTTCCCCCGCTCTGCGTTCCCAGGGGTCACCCCCTCACACTTATGGGGTCCCCAAGGTCAGAAATGGGGGCCCAGGGCTCCCCCAGCAGCAATGGGGGTCCCCCTCCCCGTTATGGGGGTCCCGGCGGTCTCTCCCCTCTATTGGGGTGTCCTGGGCTCCTCATCCCCGATCTTGGGGTGTCCCTGGGTTTTCCTTCCCCACACACCCCCCGCCCCCAGCCCCATTTCCCACGGCCCCGAGCCCGTTCCCATCCCCCGATCCCATTTCCTGCGCTGTTCCCAGCAGAGCCTCCCCGGGGACCCCCCCGCGCTGACCCCCGGCATCCGGGGAGGGGGGGGAGCCCGGCCCGGCCCCCCCGCCTGGGAACGGCTCCGCTTTGTCCTTTTTTAGCCCCGCTGGAGCTTTTTCCATGAGCTCAGCACCGCGGGGGGAGCCCAGAACTCCTCCAGAACCTCCCCAGAACCTCCACGGGAGCCGCTTTGCAAAGAGAGAGAGAGAGAGAGAAAAAAAAAAATCCGAGATCTGTTTTTTGGTTTTTTTGGAAGTCCTTTTATTATTAATATAAAAATACTCACGTATTTACAGCAAATAAATATATTTCGGTAACAAATAAATTACACTGGGGTGGGGGTTATACAAAAGGGGAGGGGGGCGTGCAGGGGGGGACAGGCGGGGAGGGAGGGGACAAACAGCCAGGGCAGGGTGGGGACAGAGCCCTGGGAGAGGGACACGGAGGGAGGGGGTGGAGATAGAAAAGTTGTCAGGGAGAAAAACCCGAAATCAGCCAAAAAAAACGTCCCGAGGCCACCGCCCAGGGCCCGGGGGTGTCCCCAAGTCTGTCCCTCCAGGGGGACACGGTACCGAGGGCGGGGGCGGTGACCCAAGGCGGGCACCGGGACCCCGGAGTGACACGGTGGCACGGCCCGGGGCAGGGGCGGGTGACAGCGGTGTCCCCAGGGCGGGGACTGGTGCCAGGGTGACACCCCTGTCCCCAGGGCAGGTGCCAAAGTGACAATCCTGTCCCCACAGGCGGATACCACTGCCAGCCTGTGAGTCCCCAAGGCGGACACTGGCACTGGGGTGACACTGCTGTCACCAGGGCAATGCTGTGGTGACACTGCTGTCCCCAAGCTGGGTACTGGGGTGACATTGCTGTCCCCAGGGCACGTACCAGCGTGGCAATCCTGTCCCCAAGGCAGGTCCCGGTGCCAGTGTGTCAGTCCTTAAGGTGGGCACTGGCACTGGGGTGACACTGGCACTGTCACTGTCCTTAGGCCAGGTACGAGCGTGGCAATCCTGTCCCCAAGCTGGGTGCTGATATCAGGTGTCCATCCCAGCCGGGTACCGGTGCCAGGTGTCCATCCCCAGCCGGGTACCGGTGCCAGCTGTGCCGTGCCCGCTCCGCGGTGCCCACGGCGGCTCCGGGAGCTCAGGTAGGCATCGCTCACACCGACGACTCCTCGGGGTTGGAGTCGGGCAGGGGCTGGCGCTGTTGCAGCTTGCGCCGCAGCTCCTCGGCCAGGTCGGCGCAGGCCGGGCGCTCCTCGGCGCCCAGCGCCAGGCGGATGTAGCCGTTGGAGGCGGAGCCGCGCAGGGGGCCCAGGTGGATGCGGGTGGGCGAGTGCAGCGGCTGCCCGGGGATGGCGGCGGGCGGCGAGCCGGCCCCGGGGCCGCCGTTGCGGCAGCAGGCGCTGCCGGCCGTGCTGGCGTGGCCGGGCACGATTTTGAGCGAGCCGTCCGAGTAGTAATAACTGGAGGGGTCCCAGAGCTTCTCGTCCGAGTCGGAGGCGGCGCTGGACACGAAGCGCGGGCTGGGCGGCTCCTTGGGCAGCTCGATGGGGTACACCAGCGTGCTCTCGATGGCCTTGGCGCCCTTGCCCAGCTCGTGGCGCAGCCGGCGCCACAGCGACAGCACGGCCAGCAGCAGCAGCAGGCACAGGGCGCCCAGGCACACGGCCAGCACCCACACCACGCCCAGGCTCTCCAGCGGCGCCCGCGTCTCCAGCGGCGCCCCCGGGCCCGCCAGCACGGCCACCCGGTACTCCTGCGCGGGCAGGCGGGCGCCCTGCTCCTCGGCCAGGCAGCGGTACGTGCCGCTGTGCTGCGCCCCCGCGCCCGGCACCACCAGCGCCCGCAGCCGCGCCTCGCCCAGCACCAGCACCTGCTCGGCCGCCAGCGCCCGGCCCTCGAACGTCCAGAGAGCCCGCGCCAGGTTGGAGCCCAGGCGACACGTGAGCACCAGGTCTGTGCCCGCCACCACCGTCACGTTCTTGGGAGTCAGGGGCCCTGCGGGGACAGGGGGTCAGTGGGGATGGAGTGGGGTGGGATAATGGGATGAGATGGGATAATGGGATGGGGTCCATGGATGGGATGGGATGGGATGGGATGGGATGGGATGGGATGGGATGGGATGGGATGG